AGGTCATTCATATATAACATACTCTAATTAAAACAGTAGGTCAGCACTCTAGTAAAATTGCACGACTTACTTGTGGTGTAGGTCAGGGAATACACTTGACACGAATAGTAACAAGAGCGCTGAGTCAGCAAGGCCGAGGCTATTAAAAGCAACACCAATCATTCTCGGGGATCTTAATTAATGTACCGTCAAAATGGCAAGTTAATGCCGCATATAGTCAGCGTCAATTAAGTACTGATATATTTAAGTTTATAATAGTAAAATATTGTACAAAGCAGTGATTAATAAATGGGCAACTAGTTACAACAATATTATTTACTACCCAAGATAATATTTACCATATGGCGATCCTGCCAGGATCGCCATATAATAAATAATGTCGTGGGGTAGTAAATAACTTGTTGTAACTTAGTTGCCCATTTATTAATCACTACTTGTACACTCTTTAATGTTACTTAATCTTAAATATATTAGTACTTAATTGACGCTGATTATATGCGGCATTAACTTGCCACAACTTCAACAAACAATTCATACTAACAACAGACGCATCTAATGCAAGTTGCTCAGCAATTCTAAGTCAGAACTACGAGGGAACAGATTTACCAATAGCTTACGCATCGCGCAGCTTCAACAAAGGAGAGCTTAACAAACCTATAATAATTAAAGAATTACTTGCAATCCATTGGGGAATCAACCATTTCAAATGTTATTTATATGGAGCACCAACATTCTTGATAAAAACGGATCATAAACCACTAACACACCTATTTTCAATGACAGAACCTACCTCGAAACTCACGAGAATCAGATTAGATTTAGAGGAATACGATTTCGAGATAGAATATATAACAGGGAAAAATAATTACGCAGACAGTCTGTCGAGAATATCAACAAATCAGTTGAAAGACTTATACATAGACAACAAACATATTTTAGCTATAACCAGAGCTCAATCAAAGAAGAAAGCCGAAAGTGCGAAGCACAGGGAGATAGAAGAGGAAATTATATCACAACATAAAACCCACAAGCAAACAGTAAGAAAGGTACTAAACAACATGGAGGCGCATAGACTACCAATTTTGTCTTTTGGAGCAAACCGAGTCTCACCAAGACTGAGCATTCGGGTCAAAAACAAAATCAAATGCAGCAAGAGCATGACCACAGGATTTAATCACTTTGATTTAGGTCAATTGTTGGTACAGCTTGATCAGCTAGCGGTAGAGAATGCAATAAGTAAGATAAAAATATATTTAAATGATATTATTTTTAATTCGTGCACAATTGAAGAATTCATAAACGAAGGAAATAAGATATTGAAAAATGTAGAAATATACATATGTGAAGTACCAGAAGTCATAGAGGATGAACAAGAAAAACTAAGAATATAGAAGAATACCATAATCACCCGATGTTTGGAGGTCATGTGGGAAATAATAGACTTGTAAAGAAACTAAAAGCAAGATTTAGATGGAAGAACATGGAAAAGGACGTACGTAAATATATTAAACAGTGCCATAAATGCCAAATTAATAAACCAAAAAGATCACATGTCGAAGAATTTGTGATATCGGACACTTCGTCAAAACCATGGGACATAGTGTATATAGACACGATAGGTCCATTCCCTAAAAGTAGTGAAGGCAATCGATACTGTATTACGATGATTTGCGAACTGACGAAATACGCAGTAAGTATCCCAGTATAAACGATAGCACCGAACAACCCGAAGGTGCACTCGACTCGGCGTTAATTGTTCGCGCATCTGGTTTGCGCAGGTCAGCGGCCATATTTTAAGTTCACAGTCACGTCGTTGACAGATCATTTTGTGTTTGTTGTTAGGTTAGATCACTGTTTGTTTCGCTAATACTTTGATTTTGTGCAATCGTAAACACTGTAATTGTACACTAAAAAAATGGCGCAAGGTCACCGAATTTGTCTGACAGCTACCAATGTAAATTTATCGGAGTGCACCTTCGGGTTGTTCGGTGACGATAGCTCGTGGAATTTTTGATAATTTCATACCTACATACGGACTCATAAAACAGATTAGAACGGATCAAGGCACGGAATACAAAAATGAAGTAATGAATGAATTAACTAAAATGCTAAAGATCACACACAATTTTTCAACAGCATACCACCCTCAGTCAATAGGGAGTTGTGAGAAGCTACATAGGACACTAAATGAATACGTAAGATCATTCATAGACGACAACAAAGAAAATTGGGATATGTGTTGCAGAATGTTCACATACTGTTACAATACTACCCTAATGCATATCACGGTTACACACCTTTTGAATTGTTGTATGGGCGAAAGGCAAATTTACCAGAAGATCTCACACAGGAAATTCAACCATGCTATAACATAGATGCCTATTACAATGAGGTCCGATATAAACTACAAATCGCACACGACAGAGCTAAAACGTTCTTACTAAAACACAAAAAGAAAAGACAAGACGCAAGCAAGCTAACTGCAGCACCTCAACATTTTAAAATAGGAGATCTAGTCCTGCTCAAAAGAGAAGAAAATAATAAGTTTGATAGTCTTTATGCAGGTCCTTTTGTCATAACAGAATTAAATAATGTTAACTGTAAAATTAGGCTAGATAACGGAAAGATTAGGGAGGTGCATAAAAATAGATTATACGCTTACAATCAGTAGACACAAGTGAACGCGGAGATTTTATGAGACAATATTAATGATATCGCGGGAAAAGTGAAAGGACAAATGAATAAACTATTTTACCACATATGTTTTAGAGTTAAGATAATGTATATATGTACACAGTAGCATAGGTAAACAGTACTTACTTGAGGTTGAAAAATTTCTCTTCTTCCGAAGGGAAGGAGAGAGAGGAATAAGACAGTTGTAAAAGAGAAATTTTTTTCCCAAAAGGGGATGGTGTAATATCAACCCTTAAATATCAGAATTACAGATAAAATAATATTATAATTAACACTCGTGTAACATTTTGTTTATGTAAACATTCGGTAATTTAAATCGAGGTCATTCATATATAACATACTCTAATTAAAACAGCCAGTCAGCACTCTAGTAAAATTGCACGACTTACTTGTGGTGTAGGTCAGGGAATACACTTGACACGAATAGTAACAAGAGCGCTGAGTCAGCAAGGCCGAGGCTATTAAAAGCAACACCAATCATTCTCGGGGATCTTAATTAATGTACCGTCAAAATGGCAAGTTAATGCCGCATATAGTCAGCGTCAATTAAGTACTAATATATTTAAGATTAAGTAACTCAAGTAAAGAGTGTACAAGTAGTGATTAATAAATGGGCAACTAAGTTACAACAAGTTATTTACTACCCCACGACATTATTTATTATATTGTTTTAATGCTTATTCATGTACTACAGAATCATACCTCCCTCGAAACGATTTCATTAAAATTTTTACTTTCTGGGCACAGTTTTTTACCCAACGACCAACATTTTGGAGACGTCGATTACTCCCTAAAATCACAACAGAGTATACGCAGATACTGACTACATGACTATCATGAAATCCTGTTGAAGAAAACAAAAGTTTATCGTAAATCGTATCGCAACTAATGATATTGTATCGGTTAAGGAGTTACAGAAGTATATACATAGGGTTCCTTCTGGACCAGGAAGTGACGTCACACGTCGATCGTCAAGCGTACGTATCCTCATGTATCAAAGCCACGCCCCCCTCGCGACGTAGGAACGTACCTCGTGTCTCAAGGCCACGCCCATCGACCAATGGTGACGTAGGAACGTCCCCCCATATCTTGCTGACCAATGGTGGACGTCCTCGTGACGTCGGAACGTGTCATCGACCAATGGCAGCATAGCAGCGTCAGTGGTGGGAACAGCAACACCCCCAGCGACCAATGACGGCTTAGAATTTGAATAAAAATCATAGAAATGGAGGTATAGCGATGAGGGACCAATGGCTGCATAGCAGCGTCAGTGGAGAGAATAGCAACGCCCCCAGCGACCAATGGTAGCATAGAATAAGCCAATGGCATCATAGAAATGGCGTTAGAACGTATACTCGACCAATGGTGACATAGTAATGCCCCCCTCGTAACGTTAGAACGCATCCTCGACCAATGGTGGACATCCTCGTGACGTCGGAACGTATCTACGATCAATGGCGGTCAATCATCCTCGTGTCTTGCTGGATAATGGTGACATATAAACGCCCCCCCAATGGGAACGTGTGTATCAACGTTCAATGAGAAAGACGTGCATCGACTAATGATGGAGTCGTACCACAATATTAACGAAGAGACACCCCCCCCCCATTCCCCCAATATTAACGAAAAGACGCCCAAACGCCCCCCATTCCTCAATAATAACGAAGATACGTCTCAACGTACACCAATGAGAACGATGTAATGAAAAGACGCCCAAACGCCCCCCATTCCCCCAATATTAACGAAAAGACGCCCAAATGCCCCCCCCATTCCCCAATAATAACGAAGCTACACGTCAACGTTCACCAATGAGAACGACGTTCAATCGCTAGACAGTTGCCATTTTTAATTCAATTTATTTTGTAGTTCTTCTTTTTCATCTATCAATTACTCAGTTATATTTCATGTTACATAATATGTTACGTCGTACATTGAATACTATAAGTCAGGTTGGTTGAGTGGTCTAAGGCGTCAGTTTTAAGCTCTGATACCCGAAAGGGTGCGTGGGTTCGAATCCCACACCTGACATTTTTTAAATAACGTAAGAACTTAATGTTACATTATTAAAACCATTAATAATGTTTTAAATTAATTCAACGGAATTTTCAACAACAAACACATTATGACATAAGCGGATGTTCTATTTCCGTTGGAATGTTACTTAAAATATATTCACACAGTCGCCGGAAAACACGTGCACTTCTAATTAAGCCAGGCATGTGATACATAAATAAATAGTGTTACGAAATATTGTGCAACATTGCGATAGCGTGGGAGAGGCAGTTAGATAAATAGCAGACGCTCTTAGTTCAGTTCTGATCATCCTTCAGACAAGTTGTGTGTTTTGTGCAGCGTCACCAATTGTACAAAGTACCGTTCGGAGAAGTTTTTGTGTAGTGTCGACAATTATACAAAGTAAGTTTTATACTACTTAACCTTTTTATTGAAATTACTTGGTTATAATCTCTTATATTCTAAAAAATGTTTTGTAAATATTGTGGTATTTTGTAATTTTTGTTTCTATGGAAGTTTTGCAAATAATATTGCTATTCAAAAAAGATTTCATTGTTAAATTAAAAATTTTGCTAGTCAAAGATATTTCATTGTTAAATTAAGAAAATACATATTGTTGCAGATGGACCTAAAAAAGATTAATGCATCCTCTCTGCTTACAGAGAAGAAAATCAAGACCATTTGTAAACTGAAGGAGCTGACACTAGGTGCGCCTTTCAAAATTATAGCTGCTAAGTTGGTGAAGACGAAATACGGGGAAGCAGTTTTACTGGAATTGGAGGAGAACGTGGTTTTCCTACCAAACCGCGTAACAAAGGACTACGTTCCATTCATACACGAATTTTCCAGTAACAATTATTCTCTGGTATTTCGAGGAGTGGTAGACATCGGAACAACGCAGCCAGCAGCGAACTTCGAGATTATTGAGCATTAAAAAATATTGGTGAGTTTTTCATTTATTGATTTATTGCTTTTTACTTAATCATGAGTAACATTGGTGATTTTAGTAGTGACATTGTACAACATTTAATTAAAGCGCGAGATGTTTTGTTTCAAAATTATACACCGCGAGAAGCGAATATTTGGCTTAATCACATTAAAAGGCATTTGACTTTGTTTACTAAAGCGATTCGGTGTGGGGACTTGGAATTAGCTAAATTACGGCAACTACAGACAAACGCGGGGCATTTAAAGACAATTAAATCGGAAATTCAAAATTTCGGTCTTCGTGTGTGTAGTGGATTTACTAAACATCGTCGGGTTAAATGGGAAGATGTAAATTCCGCCTTCAAGAGTAGAATCAGAACAGGTATAATTATTAATTTAGGACACAAAGATTTAATGCAATTTTTCGGGGATTGTTTTAAGTTATTTAGAATTCGAATTAAAAACATTTTAAAAAAATTAAATATGATAAAATGTAATATGACATTATGTGGAGAATTTATTAGAAAATCAAATCAAGGCGATATTAACCAATTTAAATATTTCAATACCAAGAATGAAGTCATAGACGCAGGAACGGACTTGGTTTTATGGTTCCATACAAACATAGTCGATAAATTAATGTCTAAGCTATCAGAATTTGAAGAAACGGGATCAGGGTGGGCTTTGAAAAAAATTGTTTCTTTAGAAGTCAATATTAACAAATATGAAGTGGGAAATGGAGCATCATCATTTATTAAGTTACCGGAACCAATCCAAAAGAAGCACGCCTGCATAAATATCAAAAACGATGATGAAGCATGCTTCTTTTGGAGTGTCGTTTCGGCGATTTACTCAGCTAAATGTCATTCAGATCGTACTTCTTCGTATCCACATTATGCGACTGTCTTAAATATCGATGGGCTAAAGACACCTATGACTATAAAGGGTATTTCAAAATTTGAAAAGTTAAATGGATTTCTGTAAACGTTTACGGGTTAGAAATGAATGTTGCGAAAGAGAGAACATTTTACGTAACAACGCCGGTAAGGCTATGCAAAACCAAATTAACTAAACATGTAAATTTATTAATTGTACAAGATAAATATTTTCCAAAATTGAATGACTATGAAGCACCTATGGCTCACGATGAAGCTGTAGAAATTAAGTATCATTATTGCATGATTAAAGATATGTCTCGACTTATGTCCAGGCAGTTAAGTAAGAAACGTAATAAAAAAATTTTATGTGATAGGTGTTTGAATTATTTTAGTAGTTTTGACAGATTAAACGATCATGCAAAATATTGTGAGAAAATTAATGACTGTAAGTTTCTTTTCCATCATATCAGAATGTTGAATTTAAAAATCATATGTATAAACAAACGACTCCCTTTGTAGTCTATGCCGATTTTGAGTCAATGTTACACAAAGTTAAAAACACCCCATTAAAATGCAAAACAATTAAGTATTAACAGCATAAAGCCTTTAGTGCGGGTTATTACGTAAAATGCTCTTACGATGAATCTCTATCGTTTTACCGAAGTTACGCAGGTGAAGATTGCATGGAGTGGTTTGCCAAGGAAATGTCTGAGTTGGCGGCATTTGTGCAAGGAAAAATTAAAGATATTGTACCTATGAATGTTACACCCAGTTTTAATGCATCTAATTGTCACATTTGCGAAAAAACGTTTTCAGATAAGGATGTAATTGTTCGTGATCATGATCATTTTACCGGAGATTTTCGAGGATTCGCACACCAAGTGTGTAACTTAAATTTCAAAAAACTTTTCGTTGTCCCAATTTTTTTTCATAATCTTAGCGGTTACGATTCGCATATGATGATTAGAGATCTAGCGAAAAAGGGTAGTATCAGCCTACTACCAATAAATAAGGAAAAGTATATTTCATTTACAATAAACGATTCTGAATCAAGCATTAGGTTGAGGTTCGTTGATTCACTGAGATTTTTAAATTCATCATTGGACAAGTTGGCTGCCACATTGCAACCTGAGGATTTAAGATATTTAGCTAGCGAATTTCCAAATACCACTCCTGAACAAATGGAATTATTGAAAAGAAAAGGCATATTCCCATACGAATATATTGATTCTTTCAATAAATTGAATGAAACGCAACTAACATCAATTGATAAATTTTCCAGCTCATTATCGGGTGAGCACATCTCCAAAAATATGTATCATCATGCTCAGAATGTTTGGCAGTCATTCGGTATTAAAAATATTTTGGAATATAGTATGTTGTACATGAAAACTGATATTATGTTACTGACTTGCATTTTTGAAAATTTCCGACAAAAATGTCGAGGTACATACGGCCTTGATCCGTCCTGGTACTATACCATGCCAGGTTTTTCGTGGGATGCCATGCTGAAGTATACTGGATGTAACCTTGAACTACTGAATGATATCGATAAAATCATGTTTATTGAGAAAGCTATCCGAGGTGGCATAAGTCAAGTAAGTAATCGGTATTCTGAGGCAAATAACAAATCAAAGCCTAGTAAATATGTGCTATATTTAGATGTCAACAATTTATATGGTTGGGCAATATGTCAATTCTTACCATATGGAGGTTTCGAGTGGGTCGATACCAATATTGATGTCTTGTCTATTCCTGATGATGGAGATACAGGATACATACTACAAGTGGATTTGGAATACCCAGAACACTTGCATGACTTACATCGAGATTTACCGTTTTGTTGCGAATATCGTGTTCCACCAAGAAGTAAGCTTCCAAAACTTATGACCACCTTGTACCATAAAAAAGAGTACACCTTACACTATCGCAATCTAAAACAAGCTCTGAATGCAGGACTCAAACTAACAAAAATCCATAAAGTGTTGAAATTCAAACAGAGCGCTTGGCTTAAGCCATATATCGATCTTAATACAAAATTGCGAACTGCAGCAACAACGGGATTTGAGAAAGACCTTTTTAAGTTGGCCAACAACGCCATCTTTGGTAAAACGATGGAAAACATTAGGAAATATCGCATTGTAAAACTTGTATCAAAATATGATGGAAGATATGGAGCGAAAAATTTGATTGCTAGTCCACGATTTCATAATAGAACCGTGTTTGATGAAAATCTAATGGCAATCGAACTTAACAAAGCTCATTTTCAACAAACCATTGTACATCGGCATGTCAATTTTAGATATATTCAAAGTGTGTATGTACGATTTTCATTATAACTTTATGCTGCCATATATGGGTGTTGAAAATTGTAAGCTCATGTATGGGGACACTGACAGTTTTATCTATGAATTAAAATGTGATGATGTTTACAGAGACGTTATTAAAGAAATTTATCTAAATTCGATACATCAGACTATTCTGAGAATAATATTTATGGAATACCTCAAGTCAGCAAAAAAGTTCTCGGAATGATGAAAGATGAGGCAAACGGGCGCATTATGACTCATTTTGTCGGACTTAGATCTAAAATATATTCGTTTAAGATTAGTATGACGGATGAGGATCGAAAGGCATTGTGGGATAAATACAAGAATAATATGGATGATGCTAGTATTGAAAAAATTGTAAATAATTTAGGTGTCACAAAAAAATCTAAGGGCGTAAAATATTCAACGGTAAAAAATGACATTACTTTCGATGATTATGTTAAGTGTTTAAACGAATTTACAACTAAAAGTGTTTCCTAATCAACGTTTCGTTCCTACGCCCATGATCTTTTTACAATAACACAAGAAAAAATTGCATTAAGTCCGTATGACGATAAACGTTACTTGCATCAAAGTTCTCATGACACTTTACCTTGGGGTCATTATGAAACCACAATGCTTGAGTAAAAACAAAAATTAATAAATGAAAACATAACCAAATTTTTTTTAATGAAAATGAATATGTAGAACGATATTTGTATTTTTGTTAAAAATCAATTTGTAATCATAAGTAGAAAATAAAAAACTTTAAAAAATATACATTGTTTTCCTGTAATTTTAAGTCTTAGCTTATCTTTTACAGCGTTGTGAGACATTCAACGTGAAAATAAAAAAAAACCTGTTTGCATTAATAGCATTTATTTTGATTATTACATAAAATCATTTACTGTAATTTTATAATAATGTAAATATTCTCTTAAAGCATTACTTAACAAAGTGTCTGTGGAAATTTCACAAAACGCAGTCAAAGCTTCAAGTGGTCCATATAAACTGCTCCTGCTGCAAAAGTTTGATTTTATCAAATCGATAACATTTCTATAATAAGCATGAAAGTTTAAATTATCCAATAACGATACACGATGACACACCAGACTGCTGTTTACTTCTAGGATTTGGTTGACATCTCTTTCATCTAGATAGTATTCCAGACCATGCTTTTCAATAACAAGGAACTTGATTGAATCATATACTGTTTGTTTAATTTTACAGTAGTCTCTACACTGAAACTCGATAGGATTGTAATCATCTTGAGAGGTGCTGTTAAAAAAATCACTAATCTTCTGCTTAAAAACTCCGATTATATCATCCCACTCGAACGTGCTTAAACTAATTCTTGCATTCTTGTTGTGCTGACACAAAATAATGGCTGATGAGAAATGACGAGCTGGAGAAAGGCCAACTTTGATTATACAGTTGTCTTCTGCTACAGATGCTTCTAGTAAATAATACGGTTCATTTTTGGTTGCTTCTTCGAATCTCGCCAAAGCTCTTTCTAATTCAGCATCATAATTGATATCATCTGATGATGAATCAGCAGCTACCACCATATCGTCTGATGAACTATAACCACTATCTTGAGAACTCATATTGATGAACTGACAGGAACAACTGAGGGTGAGCTTGCAGTATTTATGAAATTTATATTTTTTGTCACCCCCCACTCATTTAGTGTATATCTACGCGACGTATGTAAAAGTAGATCTAAATGATATCTTTAACGTTAATCCAACTATTATGGCTACTATCAAGTCCCAACCATTAAACATACATCTTATTTCCACGTCTGCGCAGTACTTTCTCAACTAAATAAATGTCTTTATTTTTTGTTTTCTGTAATTCTTCTTCGCAGAATGCTCCTTTGATAGGCGCTCCAGTCATATCTTCAATCAAGTATGTTGTGGGATTCGTTATTTTAATTTCAGTAATTTTAAACAGTTCTGTTGTCCAATTCGGTTTATATCCCTTATCGAAAATGTGTTTATTTTTACTAATGCGAACCACGTCACCAACTTTCAATTTTCTTGACCAGCAATTTTCAAGTGAGTATAATATTTTCGTAAAATTTCCTTTTCGTTAGATTTATTAACATCAATAGGTCTAAGTCGAATTTTGCTGTGTTTCGTGTTATTGTACTCTTTTGTAATTTGAGGCAAGATATCAATCCATTTGTAAGTTCCATTAAGACTGAAATACTTGTAAAGTTTTTCCTTTAATGTTCGAATAACTCGTTCACATATGGCTGCTTTTTTAACACTAAAGGTATTATAGTGATTAATACTATGCTTTTTCATGAGATTTTGAAACTTGGAATTCAAAAATTCTGTGCCTTGGTCTGTTTGTAAATTTTTCGGACATCGTCGAGTATGAGCGAGAATATCCGAAAATGTTTGAGTAATTTCTTCGCCTGTTTTCGTCTTTAATGGTTGAGTCCACACAAACTTTGAAAAACAATCAATTACAACAAGAATGAGTATGTACGATTTATTTTGACTGGCATAAGGTCTCATCTCAGCAAGGTCCATTTGTCACAAATCATCTAATCCTTTAATGATTGTTCGTCGACGAGGATAATTTTTTCGTGCAGGCTTGTGCAGCTCGTTAACTAGTTGTATCTTCTCCTCGGTAAATGTCATGTCTAGCTTCCAACGATTCGATTCTTTGAACTAACGCTAATTCGTTGTTCCGTTAGCTTTATTATGTGAATTAAGATCCGCTGTTATAATCTTTTTTTCTATTTCCAACGTTTTCATCATAATTTGTGCATTTTGGTTGGCAGCATCTGTAATATTCTTTGTCATTTCTTGTTTAAATATATCAAGATCATTTTTAAATTCATGCATTTGTTTTGATAAATCAGATATTTTCGAAGCAGTCATTTTATTCTCATCAGACAACTCGTTAACTTTTTTACTTAAATTATCTTCTATTTTACTGATGGAGTTTGAGATTTTTTGTTCGAATTGGGTATCTTTTTGAATTCTATTTTTTTGTATCAAATTAATCTCTTTTCTTAGAAAAGTTTTCGCACGAACAATGCTGTCATCTACATATTTCTTATTGGAAAGATGAATACCTGCTACAGGAGGATCTCGTTTAATATCTTTATTTACTTCATGTATCTGGTTTTGTAAATCCAAAATGGATTGCTTTAAGCCTTCACGTAGCTTTTTAACAACTTGTTCATTAGAACGGTAATGATGACGACCAAACTTGTCAACACTCATGTTGGAAATGATGTTCCAATAATCCAAACATTAATATATAATATCTGCTTCACATAATTCGTTGATAATGGCAACAATTTCGTTATTGTGTGATGTGTTTCCTGCTTCTTGGGAAGCAATCAGCAATTTGAATCTGTCGCATAGTTCGTTTGGATCATCCCAATACACGTACTCTATAGGATCATCGTTGTATGTCAAATGTGTAGGTAATCCAGAGCCAACCTCCTGCCTACTGGCCACTGTATGACGACGTAGAGGTAATGATTGAAGGTTGGGTCTAATAATTTGAACCCACTTGATTCTATTGGTTCCTTTTAGTGTACCATCTTGTTTTTTGTGTCCCTCTGTTAATTCAAGCAATGCAATGTAGTTTGTAATATCTTGTGTATTATAATGATCAGGATCTTTGTAAAATAGTAATTCGTATAATCCTCGACTTCCATTAACATATTTGTCGTTTACTATTATCCAACGACGCTTAAGTGGAACTGGGCAGGGCACTTAGCCAGAACACAAGATGGACGGTGGACAAGACGTATTATGGAATGGAGGCCCAGAAATTATAAAAGAAGCCGAGGACGACCACTGACTAGATGGACCGATGACATTATGTCACCGCGGGGTAATTAATAAGGGTCTAAGCACCTTCTGTACCACCGTGTGCTCTGTAGAGGGCTTCGAAAACATCAACGATAGCTCCTCTACTTAAGTCCATTTTCAAGGTATGGACTCGAAAATGTTTTCTTCTGGTATCTTGCCTTGAAAAAGGCAAGATATTTCTTACATGACAAAGGTTAAGTCGAAATAAAAATACCAGGTTGCAGTAGAATAACATCTCAGCCACAGAGTATGGGAAAATCTAAAAACAAGAAAGCAGAGCCCCGAGAGCACTAAGCTCTCGGAAAGCCCGTGAAGGACTGACTTATTGACCTGAAAATCGCCTATTTTTATACTTTCTAAAGTAGCGATTAGGGATTTCCAGGTCAGGGAGGGGCCAACGTGAAAAATAAGGGGCGGGGCGATGCGTCTCGAACGTGAACTAGTCGCGTCCGAGAACAATTAAACGTGTAGCGGGAAACTGGCTACAAGCGGCCCAGTGTAGAGAACACTGGAAAGAACTGAGGGAGGCCTATGTCCAGCAGTGGACGCGATTGGCTGATTGATGATTGATTATCCAACCTTTATCATTAAAGTCAATATCAGTTTTTCCAAGTTTCCATTTGGAAGTTATAGGATCATGAGTTGGACCATATACCGTATCTATTTTATCTGAGTAGTTCCAGTGGTCCATTACATAAGGATGAATTAGAGGATGATATTGTTCTAAGTACTCTCGAAACACTTGATTTGACGCTTCATCTTGATGTTGATTTGTTTCTATTATATTTTCATGTTCTTCATCTTCTTTATCTTTGCTTTCAAATACATCTCCATCACTGATAAATGATGTATCATTTGCACCTTCATTTTTGATTTCTTCTTCTTATTCCATTGGTTCTTCTTTCTTTACAGATTAAGTTTTAACATGGATTTTTGATGTTTTTGTAATGCCGTTGGTTATCCGTTTAAACATTTTTTTCAAAGTTTCATCTTCTTCATATCTACCCAGCTTAAGTGCCAAATACTTTTTGCGAATGACACGAGCTAGTTCGGCATCTTTACGCTTGCGCGCAGCTACCTCTTTGTCTGGCATATTGTTATACAATGCGTGTTTTTCGATCATACCTACAATTTTATAAATTTATCGAAGCCTTTACGATATCGTCCGTTAGAAGTATCGAAATCCTTAACAATAACGAATGTACCGTATTTGTCCTTCCAACATTCGGAACAAAATTGTTTAAATTGGTCAAATGTCATGTCAGGGGAGACGTGATCGTCAAAGACGTGTTTCAAATTGAGCTCATCCTGTTTAAACAATACAATAAGGTTGGCATTATCACGCAAAAGTTGTTTACCTGCTCGACTGTATGATTGACATAGGTATGCACAATCGATATCCTTATGTCTACCCATACAATAATATTCACGTATTGTTTGTTGTGGATCCGTTGATACGTCATCAAATATGAATACTGAGTTTGGTTTAGCTTTACTGGGGCTTATGACATCATTATTATCTTTAAATGGAAAATAACCTACTTCTTTTACAGACTCCAACACTTCCTTCAAAAATTGATACTTGGGTTGAAACAACGACTTTGAATAAACGTAAATATTTTTGAATTTAGCGCCATTCGGGTCAAAAAGTAATGCTAACATAACATTAGTTTTTCCACATCCGCTTGGACCACATATGATAGCACGAAATGAATGCGGTAGCAATGCACCATGTTTGCTGGTTCTTGTCACGTTGTCGACAAAATTCAAGTTTTCCACTGCTAGTGTCTTGTCTTGTTGAATGACCTTCATCTTGTGATTGAGATGTATTTTGTACACATGGTTATATAAAGACATTTTGCAAAAAGCGATTCATTTCAATGTTGAATTCTTTGATCGACAGGCGAAGG